GATTCTTGGGGATGCATAGCGGCGGGAGAAGGAGGAGGCTATAAATACTGGCCGACGGCCATTCTCGGATGCTGCAATCCGCCCGCGGGGAGAGGGTTCCGCGCCGCTTTTGAATCTAAATTGCGTGTGCAGATAGGGCGGCGCTCGTAGCGAACGTGAAGCGCATAAAGATACGCGTTTGCTACTTATTAAGCGACGTCTCTTTGTGCATATCGAGCTTATCGTTCGCACGGGCGACGCGGCGAGATGTTACGTAAACCGTATAACGTGTGTCGCAGTCGCCACGGACGCGCCCCCATACACCATACGAGAATTGCGACCCTGAAGCGATAATAGTCATTAGCGTCATATTTATCAAGTCGAGTAGGAGAGAGACGCGCTCCTCTCGCATTCGCGGTTCGCATCGTGTGAGAGTATATGAAAGTTAATTCCTCCTCCAAGCTAGCATAAGGGTCCGCGTCTTCTAACGAATGGGCGACCTCGGCTCCTCGAAGCCGACTTTCTTGCTGCCCGCGGAGGTTGGGACTCCTCTGTACGGGGTCCCCTCTCTATCTTTTTCATCCGCGGCTCTTTTTCTGCCTCCCTGACTTGTTAGAATGCGGAATGTGTTGCCCGCGGTCAGGGCTCGCAGTGACTTCTTAATCGGATATACGAACAAAACGTGCGCATCATCGTCAGATCGCTTGCATGAGTAATTACGTTATCCATCGTTTCGCGATCGCACACGATGCCGTGAGCGATTCGACACCGCCGAGTATAGGAATGTGCGAAATTATCGTCCGAGCGATGGAATATATCGGAATGTTTTGTATCAAACGTTACGTCTAAAGATAACAAAAAAAAAACATGTGGAAGGTATCGATGTGTGTAGGTATCGATGAAAAGGCATCACATTTTTAGATATATGTATCCCTTCTTCTTTAAAAGTTCGAAATTTTTAAGCAAGAGTGACTTGTAACTTTCTACATGCTCGCGAGTCGGTGCTGGCGGTGTTGAAATATTTTTTTTAACTTGCTTTTATAAGTTACTTTCATACTAATGTTTTACTTGGTCGTTATTTTAACTAGTACCTCGCTACATAATAGAGAGTTGAGCTGTATTTTAACTAGTACTTCGCTATATATTAGACAGTAAAGTTGTAATTAGAGAATTAAATTGCTATATTAATGTTGTAGAATTACGAATAAGAGAAGAAGCTTAATAAAATTGTCACGAGGAGGCTATATTCACAAGTTTTTATTATTTAGGCACATGTTAAATTTTACAACTGGTGAACCAAGAGTACATATAATTATTTATAATTAGATATACACATGTATATTAATTACAATATTATTTTTAACAAATTATGTTTTATAAGAACAAATATTTTGAGTAAACCAAGACATTGCCAAGCATAAATTGCGCCGAAAAAGAAACATATTTTTCGGATGAAATTGGATGACGTCAGCCAAGGCGAGATTCCGACAAAGATGCCGACTATATATTATACGGCAGCTCACCTTAGTGAGCACCCTCACGACCGAATGAAAAAGTGAGTGATGTAAAATAAGTGTGCAATAAAGAACCGGATAATCTGGATGCATCTGCGGTTTCGTCGGTGCAAACGAGACTGCCGGGGGTAACTAGGTAGGCAAGGCGGCGCATCGAAAGCGGATTCGCGGACATTAAGATTTTGCAGACGCACAGCTAGAGTACGCACGCAAAGTGGATATTTGCACCTCGTATCGCATATCCAGCCGCGGCGGGTACGCAGGTAATGGAAAACGCACGTTAATCTTCCCTAATTTTCCTCGGCCGTGCAAGCTAGGCGGCTAGGCGCGCCCACTAATTTCGCTTTGTCGTCGCGATAACGACGATTAACGACCCTGGCGAACAGGCGCGTTTCGTTGAGCATTTCGGTGTTAACTCCTTAACATGTTGAGACGGCCGTTACGCGATGACGACGCTTCGTAACGAGTCATAATTGAGAAAGAAGTGAATCATTCAAAGTTATTAATCAATGATCGTTATGTGATATTGTACGACGAGTATATCCCATCCTTTAACGAGCCGCCTGTCGTTTACGGATTTCTTCTCAACAACTTGAAATATATTTTTCAATTTTGCGAAATATATACTTTTTTGCTATTTTTATTGCAAGATGTCAATTTTGATGCATATAATTAAATATAAGTATAATTTCAATTTGAGACCAATACTCGGAAAGAACACTTTTGCTGAATCCAGATCTGAAAATAATTTTTGTTCAATGATCAAAATAATTTTGTGCAAAAGTTAAAATGATTGCTAAAATATCAAATCGTTTTATAGCAATGCTTATCAGTTTTAACATTCCAAAAAATTACTTTGATGATTTAATAAAAAATTATTTTCAGATCTGTTTTTAGCAAAATTTTTAGATCTTTCAACAATATCGTTCTTTCCGTGTATGAACCTATCCTGGATGCGGCTGTATGTGCCATGAATTTACGATTTCCTTACCCCTTGAAAAACGGTTTCTTTTGATTGTATACTCATTAAGTAACAATATATTCAATGAGTAAAAGTCGATATGTTTTGAATTATTAATTGTACGATCTTCTTCACTTGATATATTGCTCTGGATAAATTATCTTTATGGTAAACTATTTTTTTCTATGAGGTGTAGATAGCTTGTTCAATTTTGATTGAAAAATTTTATTATTTTTTAAATTGATATTAATTTATCCAATTAATTGTAAGATTTAAGATTTATTTGAGATGTTTTAAAAATGTTTTCAAGACGTAAGAAATATAATAAGCGTTTTGGTTCTTCAAATAAAATTATACAATGTTTAATGCATAATGTTTTGATAGCAAAGATTGTTAAAACAGTACTTGAAACGACGATGTAGAATCTGAAGTATGTACGTAGCTATTTATTTGCTTACTCACGTTTCGTATTAAGTTGTAATCGGACATAACTGTGTTCATTCAAGCTTGAAATACAATCAAAATATATAGATTATTTTGTACAGTATCAAAATACATAGACCGTCGAGATATGTTCTATATAATTCGTTTTTATCAATTAAATAGGAGATATCAATTAAGTATAGAAGTTTAGTTCTGCAAAAATAGATTTTGCAATAAAGATTTGTTTATTATAATGCAAAATAAGATATTTTGCAGATATTTCGATTGTATTTGAAAAAATTTGTTATTCTCACTCTCTTTTTTATTTACCAATTCTTCGATATTATCTAAGGCTGAAAGTTGCCCGAGGTTCTTTTACATTTTTACTTCCTTGTCACGTTTGCGCATCTAATCTGAGTTTTACGCGAAAAATCTTCCGAAACTCGGCGCAAATTTCGATAGTTGTATTCGACGTGTATGTTCGGGACTACGTTGCTACGAATTTCGCGCAACATGCACGCACCGATCGTAAATTTCGCGGTACCGGTTTCCCCTAATCAGTGAAGTCTCATTCACAGCGGAATGGACCACGACGGAGGAGAGAAGAGACTAATGCGGACTAAGCGGCAGTCTCTCCGGTCCTCGCACATGGCGCTCGTAAATTTCGCGCCTCCCGATTTCCCTAATCAGAGGGATGCGCGGGATAGAAACGGGGACAGATAGCGTAGGAGAGAATGAATCTAGTCTATACTCGGTGCTTTCTTATTGGTACAGGCAGGGCGAGGCGAGCGAGTGGCAGGCAGGCGGGCAGGTAGGCAGTCAGGCAGGCAAGCAGGCAGGCAGGCAGGCAGGCAGGCAGGCAAGCAAAGCAGGCAGACAAGTAGGTAGGAGAACTTTCGTTCGCCAGCGATTCTTCTCGGCGTTATGCACGCGCGCACAAAGTCGTACGTCATGTCGAGCCGTTTAATGGCCTTTTAATACTACCTTACGAGCGGCATGTTTCCCCACCCGCACAGCTCTTTCTGCCACAGCCGGCTGGACGCTACCTTTGAATAAGGCGACCGACGGCGGAGACTCCACTCGCTGCGTCCGATCTCTCCGTTGCGCCTCTCCGTCGCGGACGGCTCTGTCTCTGTTCGATATAGCAATTGGAAATTCTTTAAGGGTCTGTGTCATCGGTCGGAGCTACGGAGCTCGTAAACCGGAGGCGAATTCCCGGCGGGAGAGAAAGAGAGAGAGAGAGAGAGAGAGAGGGAGAGAGGGAGAGAGACCGCGCGACTTCAATCGTTTAGCGGCCGGAGAGCAGATCTTCTCCGTTCGTGAGGATACCTATACCAGCGGTTACGCGCCGCTGCGCGTATCTCTCCGCCGGATCTTCTTTGTTGCACCGATCACGCACGGATGACTATACCCATGGATATATATACACGCGAGTCTGCTTACGACAAAATGGTTGAGATAAGCCATGATCCTTAATGATCTTACGATACCAAGAATCCAGCTGTGAGTGTCTAATAGCTGGACATTTATCGTCCTATTATGACTGTTCTCACAATAACATTTTTATTAATTGCAATCATTTGTTAATATTTTCTGGAAAAATTGCGGTCTCTCAGATTTTGGAATATTGACAGATCTGCACAGCGTTCGATTATGTTAATTTCTTTAATGCAAGATCGACCGATATTTGATTTTTAGCTAAAAATACAATTGCAGTTTTATATTATTGTCACTATCAATTTATATTTTTAAACAGTATAATAGCATGATGCAAAATTTATATACACTGTTGGAAAATTTGTATTACATCTAACACATTTCACATGTCCAAAACGGTTCACTTTATATATTTTTGTGTTAATTTAACATAAGATAAATATGTTAGAAGATAACACAAATATTATATTAAAAAATTAACACAAAAAAATGTAATACTGACACAATTTGTAAGCAAACTGTTGGAGCATATTTTTTCAATAAAATTAACATTTATTGTATGTTAAATTAACACGTATTTTATTCATTTATGTTATAATTTACGTTTCAAAATACATTATTTTTATTTGTTCACTTACTCATAAATTGTATTATTTTGACACTAAGAAATGTTGAATATCAATTTAACACAAAATATTTAAATAACATAATCACATTGTGTTAAACAAATACTCGAACATTAAAAATGTCAAAATTTTAACCAAATTTAACAAAGAACTTGGGATCGTTTTCTAACATAAATAGAAAATGTTTTTACTGTGTAGAGCTGCGTAGAAACTGTTTTCTGAATATCGGAGAATAAAGGAACTATGTTCTGAGTTGCCGGTGAATTTCTTTAAGAGGGGAGCAGTATAATGCCCGCGCCGCCGGGGAGAACTGTGCATCGCGTCTAGTAATCTGTTAGACAACCCCATTATTTGCTCGCTTACCCACTTGCGTTGCATTAGAAAGAATTTTCACGGAGCTCTTCTCTATATTATGCACGTACATACGTCCGCGAGGGTCGATTGCCGCGTTTAACGTCAAGATCGAGTAACATTTCTCGCTCGCTCACTCGACAACACGAGGAGGCGAATCGATCGTTATGTCATTGGCTGAGAAATGCAGATTCCCGCGGCTCGAATCGCTCTCGCGTAAACTGGCGCTCGTATACGTAACATTTTACGACATATCGGCGGATACGTATAAATAATCGCGTGTTGACCGGCGTTAAAGTGTAACGTAAAATTTTATCATTCGAACGGTAATACGTTTCTCCACGTCGCATTCACGGGCGATTTGAAAACGCTGTATAATTTTCAGGGACGTTCGATCACATATATACGAGAAGATTTCCTTACGTATGTAACACGACGATTTGCCGCAATCGTCGGTCCGATTACGGTTTCAAGCGAAGCATTTACCGAGGGGCGAGGCACTTATTTCAGCCTGCCCTAGCGCCGCTGGTAATCATTAAAATGTATTCGCAGAAATTGCGTGATATTTTCGAATATCTTCGTTACAGTTTCGCTAAAGCCAGCAGTATCTCGTGTTCTATAAATAATAATAACCGAGACAACTTTGCGGTAATTTCTATTTTATTGAGTTTAATTTTCTTTTTTTTGCAGCGCTTGCTACGGAAATGATATGTATTTATTAGGAGCTGCTGCTCTCAATCGTTCCGACGGACTTTTTCCTCCTTTTGATATTTTTCTTGTTGCTGCATTTGATTAAGAATTTTAATTCTTCTATGAGCTCTTCTGTAAAGGGTACCTGTGAAAACACGCAGTTCTTGTACCTTTCAAAATAATTTCATAATGTAAATATAAAAGTTATTAAACATGTAATTACGTCATGTCTGTTTGCGACGTTTCGAATGTTCCAGAGAAATGACCATCCCGCAAAAATCCAAGATAATGCAACGCCGCTTATCATGATTGCAAACACTCCACCGACGTCCTCGAAATTCAATGGTTCCACTTGAACCTTCGCTACTTCCTATAAAAATCAAAATTTCAATAATAATATCTTTTGATGACGTCATTAGTAAAATCATCCTAGCTTAAACTGTCGCGTTGGATTAAAGTTTATGAAAAGTAGCAATGAATATTATTTTCTTAACTATTAGTGAGTAACGGTTATCGAGAAATAATTTTAGTAACCGTTATTTAAAAAACAACGGTTAACGGATTATTTTTATCAAGTCACGATTTTACAAGAGCAATAATGTTATCCGAAGTCAACGATTAATAGTTATGTCGGTGATCAAAATATACTTTTATATCCTCGGTAGATCAATTTATATGCCAATCACACAGAGGAAAAAATCATTAAGCATTTAACGATCATTGCTCCTAATTAGTATGTACATCCTTCTGAATCTAACTGGTCTATAATAACTAGGCTATCAAGAATATCAAAGAATATTCCAGTTGCAAACGGTAATTTTTCAATAGTTGCAAAACTACTTTTCTTATCAATTGAAACCAATATTTCAACATTATATTTCAAAATTATATTTACAAGAAACAGTATCCGTTTAATTAATTAAATCGGTCGGTAATCAGTTGCTTTCTATCAGTATTGTGGTAAATTGTTTAAAACATTTATTACAAAGTAACTGTTTAACCGAATGTTTAAATAATTGATTATTTTGAAGTTATAACTATAACCGTTTAGTAAAGATAACCATTAAGCCCATTGTTAGTAAAAACTAGATGTAAATTTTTCCCTTTTGTTGGAGTTGTCTTGTGTAAAATTTATCTCCAAAGTAGATCTTTTCCTAAATCTCCAAGTAAGCGCGCATACACGCTTCAGGTTTAACTCTGGCTTACTTGCTACCAAACGAGCGCAGGCTCTCCTGAATCGCGCTACGTCGTCTTTACACGTACGAACTAAATCGACGAAGTTTAAGTCAGTTCAACTATAAATGCAGTCAAATAAAGGCACATGAAATACTTTGCCTGTGCGTTTTATCTGTTCGTAATCACGTAAAAGAAGAAAACGAAATAGAAGATGGTACAGAAATTTAAGAATCAATAAAAATAAATAAAGTAAGTGGGTGAACAGAAAAGATTTTGAAAGTTAGTGAAATATTTATGTAATCATTTTGGAGATAAAATTTGTTGAAAAAAGAGAATTATCTGAACTATGATTGATTTTAATTAATGTTTATGGAAATGATCTATAGAAAGCGAATGATTTGTAATCAATTCTGTAATAATTTTTTTAGACTTGAATAATATCTAATATTGTTAAGATCACTAATTTGCTGATAACATTTTTTTAATTGTTTTACTAAATAGATTTTTAATAGTATAATAGTTAAATATTTATATATATATATATATATATATATATATTTAAATATTCTTTGATTTGTATACAAATTTTTTAAGTTAAACCATTTTTATATAAAAATCTATAAATATATTAACATTGCCATATTTGGATAGATTGGATAGTACATGGCAAAGTTTTATTTCATGATCCATTAACGATTAAATAATATTTTGTGCTGCGTTATTCTTTTGTGATTCTTAAGTCCGGTATTCATAATCCGTTCTTGTTTCAAGACTGTCTTAAGTAATGTCTTAAGATGCTAATATGACTCTGTGATTGGTTTATGACATCTTACAACTGTATTTAAAATGATCTTAAATATAAGAACAGACTATAAATACCGGTCTTATAATTAGTTTGTAGAACCGGTACTGAAAGAAAATGTAAGAGAAAGAGAGAGGGAATCCTTCAAGGATGACACACGGGTCAAAAAATTGTACGATACTTAATAGCACTTATTAGTCGGGACGACTCGTGCGGTTGGCAAAGTGTTCATCATGCAATTATATACACAGAGCAGTCTATAAGTTTTGAGACAAAAACCATGTAAAATGAAGAACACGTCAGAAAAATATTTTAAACACTATATATAAAAAAATAATATAATATTTTAAACATTTTTTATTCAAAATAAGATCTCTTATTATAATCAATACACCGCTTTACACTCATTTTCAATCTTTGTTTCGTTGTTGAGTACTCCTCTTTTTTTAAAATTTGTCTTGAGTTTATCGATCACAGTTGTTACAGCGACTTAAATTTCTGGAATATCAAGCTTTTGATTTTTCAATTGCAATTTCAATTGCATTTCAAAATATCTTTCTATCATGTTCTTTACTTTATATGATTTTTGTTTCAAAACTTATAGACCGCACTGTACGTGTATCTATGTGATATATTTCGGAGATTATGCAGCGTTCAGTCTATATATAATTTTTGCTACAGTACAAGGTGAGAACACAGATATCGTACGTCGCACACATCACCGCCTCGCTTCTGTTTCCACCATTTGTTTTGCAGCTCGCCGATTATTCCATTCTCCTGCAGCCTTAGTATAGCGCCACTTAGATCCGTGCGGTAAGATACATCTGTCATAAAAATTATTTCATTAAAATAAAAGTTAATTAAGTCATTTTAAATAATTTAGATAAGCAAATGCCAACACGATACAAAGCAGTGCTTAATAATAATTATTATTTTAGCCGTTTCGTCGAATCGAAAATAATTTGTGAAACGCGCTGCACCAAAGCGCGAGAGCGGATCAGCTAGCAGTTAATATAATAACTTGTCTCTCAATTATTGCCTGCACTGTGTAAATTATGGTTGAATCACCGACCTTTCCTCATCGCTATCCCGTAGCCCTTGGAATCTAAAAGCCCACCGATCTGCGTTACGTTACAATGCCTTTGTGTGATGTACTCGATCGACGAGGATTCCATAAGATACGCGTAATTTTCGTGCTGCACCTTCCACAAGCCGTCCTCGTTACTCTTCATAAGCACCTCGTCAGCATGAGTCTTCATATAATTATACATAATCTCATACGGTTCATACGTGGAATCCTGCAAAACGAGACCGACCACTCCGAGCTCACTAGACATTTCTATAAGTAATAACGTGGAATGTCGTCGTCAGCCAATATCTATATAATGTTAAGCGCTATTCTAATCAGTATAGTCTATCTCTATTCTTTTCTCTCGCGGATCGTGTCATTCCCCTGAAAAAATGAGAATGTCGAGCCGTTAATTTTCGCGCCGTACTTGATTTCTTGTTGGTGAGCCAGTTCTTCCGCCGTTTGGAAGGACCACACGACGGCTTTCGTGGATAACGCGGCTGCCAAATTGGCGATGTACATTGTAACAATGATCAAAGTGAAGAACCACCATGCAACAGCCAAAGTTCTCGTTGAAATTCCTCTGAAATACATACCACAAGTGTTTTTCGATTTTTTTTTTGTTTTAAGATAATGTTTTTAAACAATATCGAATATTTTGCATTTCTAAAAGAATGTTATAATTACGGAAAAAAAATTTAATCTAAAACGAGTCATTATTAGGTCGATCCTGATTTAAGTTTATCTTTAAATCCTTATCTTTAAAAACGTTTTCACTGATAGACACAAATTGTTTAAATAGCTCAATTAATTGATTGCAAAAGATATTTTATAATTCATTAAATTAATTAAAATGCATGCAGTAGAAATATCGTAATAGTCAAAATGGTTTGAAATTTTTTATTAATCGTATAGATATAGTATTACTTTTCAAACGTGCTATTTAAATTCTACTATGCTTCGGGCCAATCATAGGGCTTTACAAATCTCTTCACCTGCTTACAAAAGTTCGGTCTGTTGATAAATTAGAATTAAAAGCCGGCGTATGCATATGAAGTGGACTATACACTTATCAACCGCGCGCATCGCAGCCGACTCTGCGAGACGCATGCGAGAACCTGCTGTGATATGAAGCTTTATTGTGCGCTCAACAACTTGTTTGGTTTCATGCAAGAAAAACATCCTCAAAGCACGCTCTCCGCAGGCACGTTGGCAAGCTGAAGTGGACGCATCGACTCACTTGGGTGCAAGTCCGGTAGGAGACTTCAGGATGGCTCCGATCACCAGGAACGGTGTATCTATCAGCGTGTAGGGTGTTTCCAGTACCTCCGGCTCTCTGATGCACGGATACGGGTTCGTCCATTCGACGGGGCAGAGTTTTCCAATAACGTATAACAATGCTGACACGATGATGTACACCCCGATCACGTGCACCCAAATATCTGTCGAAAACGGCCCTAGAAAGGATAGTAAGCCTGGAGGGGCTCTTGATGGCTTCATGTAGAGAACGCTTATACCTGAAACACCATTTTATCCAAATGTAAATTCTGAAATCTTGATTTATGCTCCCATATTTGTCGATACTGTATCACGAATATGTATATGTTATGTACCGCATGTTTTACCTAAGTTCATAAACGGATTCGTAAAATCTACAACGTTCCCTCTCGCCGCCGTGATCGTCAGATCCGTGATCGCTAAATCTGCTTTCTTCAAGATAAAAAAATTCAGTGTGTTATATAAATTTCTATAGGAAATATTGAACGTGTGATAAAACGATATCTATTAATTTTTTTTATCGATCATGCTATCTAGATTTTTTTGTATCTCATTGAGTTGTTAGACTATAAAATGAAAAAAGTGAAAACCAAGAATACTAAATTTTAAATGCACTTAATTTTGCATTAGCGATGGAATATTAGGTGTATGCAAAAGTTTTAGTTTTTTCTCGCACGTTTTTAATTTTATAGATCCATAATATATGTAATAATATTTAATCTTCAAAATGTTTGTCCTTATTCTCTATGATTTTCTGTCATTTCTCAAGTAAATTTTGAATTTCTTTACAAAAAAAATATTGTTGTGTCTTAATTACATCAAAAGCTCAAAAGCACTTCTCTGTTAAAGAATGTTGCATCGATTGGAATAAGTAATAATTCGAAGGTGCCAAGTCTGGTGAATACGCCGCATGCAGGAAAACTTTCCAGCCTAAATTAAAAATGATTTGCTGAATATGAAAGCAGTCTAACATCATGTAGTAAAATGAACTTCCGGTTTATAGTTGTCCAGTAAATGGTGATCTTTTCTGTTTTTTTTTAATTCTTTAAAAACACAAAAAAATGGGAATTTATTTAATTATAATACTAAAATACTATTTAAATAATTATATCAGGGCGTTAAAAAAAAACTAAATATTTTGCGTACATCTAATAGATTTTAAAAAAATTAAATATTTGGATGTCATCAGATTCTACCGACGTATCTATGAGGAGGCAACTGCTTTATCGATATAAGAAGCTACAACGCGTTGCTCTCGCATTGTATATACGGTGGAAGGTAGCAGCACTACTCGCGAACGAAGTCGATCGAGTCAATATACGGGATAAAATCAAACGCGATAAAATCAAACGCGATAAAATCACGCGAAAGAACATTTCATCGACTTACATTATCGATTATTTTTCCCAGCATTCCGTCCCACTTCTTAGTTACATTATTGAACGATCCGTAAGCTTTGTCAATTTGTACTTCAAAAGTGTAATTAAACCCTAGCATCTCGCTTATGTGTTGAATTATATCTATCGCGAAGCCTTCATATCGGTCATTTCCAATTAATATAGAGGATGATTCTTTTAGCATTCCATACGGTTGTGTCTGAAATATATTCCAGTTTAATCTTTCAGGAATAGTCCTTTTTATTTTATCTCTTTATGTTTAATATGCAGAATAAGAGGTATATTACAGAATGAAAATGTGTTGATATAGCATAGATGATAAAGTAATTTTTTAAATGTTTGTAACTGTAAACTGTTATTTTCTTAAAAAAATATATAAAATTAACATTTAAACCGATGAAGTGTATAGCACAAAATAAATAAAGACAGAACGGTCATCGGTGGATCTTATGCTTAATAATATTTATTTAAATTTTAAAATAATATTTTATTAGCAAATTGATATAATCAATTTTTAATGTACTAATATTAATAAATATCTTATATAAATGATGCTTCTGCATTTTATATAAACCTACAAGAATTTTATTATTATTATTATTATTATTATTATTATTATTTAATTGGAAAAGATGAAATACTAATTTACATCTTATAAAGCCTACTAGAAAATGTATTGCGAAAAATATTATTTTATTTAAGATAATAAAATTAACATTATTAAAATAACATTCTTTTGCTCAATTACGATCATTATTTCTGAAATATGATAATTTACTAAATATACCACTCGTATCAACACATTATTATTGTAAATTGAAATAATCGTAATACTAGCGATACAAAGTATTTTGTAGGATTAATAAATGTTTTATTTCCTTAACAATTTTGTTTTATATTACGAAAAAAGTTGTATTCGTTTTTTTTTGTTAATTTTTAACTGACCTTATTAATTAAATTAATTATTAATGTAATATAGTTGGAACATACTAATGATATTAGGACAAGAAAATGCTTATCACGTAAGCTTTTCTTATCGTCTATCCAGGGAATTCTGTATCCCGGCTTCCATTGAAAACCGAAATTCGTTTCCCATCTCCCGACTTTATACAATCCTTCATTTCCTAGATTTACGACGTCTAGTTGAAATTCACTTCGAAATCCAGCCGTGTCAAATTTTATCACACCACTCAGTCCATATATTTGCTCCTGTAGGAATTCAAAAGTTTATACGCATACGTATACATTATACAGTTTTCTTGATATCTTCCAAGCGTGACAGTAAACAAAGCACGATTTTATCAGCACTTTATTTACTGTCTATATAGTTTACTTTTGCATTATGATAAAAAAATAAGTACATCTGTTCAGTAAATAAGAATTACAAAGAGGGAACCCCGATAGGAAAAAATTTTAAAAATTATATGACGAAATGTTGTAAAAAATTTGTTTTTTGCTATTATATAAATAATAATATGGCGAATTATCTTAGCGGCAGATTTGTCAAATTAAATTTGAAAAAAATTGTCCAACAAGTGAGAAAAATATATTAGCTGATAATGTTTAAGGATGTTTAGTACCTACAATAGTAGCAAAAAGTTAAAGGACTGATTTTGACGAATATGCTCTTTTCATA